TTTAGAGAATAACCCATGTACAGCTGAGAAAAATGTGTATTCTGATTTTGTGTGGAGTAAAACTCTGTAAACATGTTAAGTTCATTTGTTCAAGAGTTTGAGTTCTATTATTTCATTGTTTATTTTTTGTCAAGTTGATTTATCTATTTGTGAGAGTGGGGTATTAAGTTCCCCACTACTATTGTATTAGAGCGTGTAAGATTTTTTATGTCCGCTACTATTTGTTTTATATAATTAGGTGCACTATTGTTTGGGGAATAGTTATTAATGATTGTAACCTCTTCCTTTTGGATTGTTGCCTTGACATGGATGTAGTGCCTTTCTTTGTTTCTCTTAATCAGTGTTGGTTTGAAATCCTCTTCAACTGCAAAGAGGATACCCTTTCCTGCTTTTTGGGTGTGTTCCTGTCACATGGAGTATTATTTTCCATCCTTTAACTTTGTCTATAAATTTCTTTTTGAATTAAGTGTGTTTCTGGTATGTAGGATATTTTGGGGTCTTGCTTCTTGACCCATTCTGTCAGTCTATTTCTTTTGATTGCTGAATTGAGACAATTATTATTGATGGTTATAATTGATATGTATTGACTTATCCTTGTCATGACCTTTTCTTTTTTTGGATTCTCCCCTTTTGCATTAAATTTCTTGTCATTCTTGATGGATTTATTCTGTAAGTCCTCCTGGTGTTTTGATCCTCATTGTTTTTTCCTAGGGTACTGTTTAAAATTTTTTGGAATGCTGGTTTGGTATTCTTGATATTCCTAAGTTGCTCTTTTTCAGGAAAGAATCTTATTTCTCCATCAATTTTGAAAGATACTTCTGCAGGGTACATCAATCTGGGTTGGAGGTTGTTTTCCTTTAGGCCTTGAAATACATTGCTCCACAGTCTTCTTGCCTTGAGGGTTTGCATTGGGAATTCTGCTGTGATTCTGATGGGGTTTCCATTGTATGTGATTTGCTTCTTTTCTCTAACTGCTTGTAGAACTTTGTTCTTCTGTTGGGTTTCTGGAATTTAACAATTACATGCCTATATGAACATTTTTTTTTATCAAGGCTAGTTAGAATCCTACATACCTCATTTATCTCTATGTGAAGTTATTTCCCAACATTTTGAAAGTTTTCTCCCATTACTTCTGTGAGTAGTTTTTTCATGTCCTCTGCAGTCTCTCGTGCTTCTTCCTTGACTCCATTCACTCTGATGTTATTCTTCTTTGCATTGTCTAGCAGTCGCTGAATTGATTTCTCATGGTGCCTTACTATTTTTAAGAATTTTTTTTTCCTGCTCGCTAATGGCAATCCTATCTTCTATACCCGAAATTCTATAATAGCATTGGCTCATTCTGCTCTGTAAACTTTCAATGGAGTTTTTAATCTCTTGGAATTCTGTTTGCATCTGTTTTATGGATTCCATTTGTTTCCTATGATGGGATTCCATCATATTTCTCAGTTCCTCTATTTTTTTTACCTGTGTCCACTCTAGATTTATGTCTTGTACTATGGGCATATTCTCTGCTGTTATCTGAGAATGTTTTTCTGATTTAATTTTTTCCAGGTGCCCTTTTGTTGCCAGTTCAGGTGGTTGAGTATCAGATTGTTCCTTCTGGTAGTCTTTTGGGGTTCCCTTATCTCATTTGAAAGTTGGGTTTTGGAACTTATTTATGTGTCTTCTCATTTCAACAGGTGCAGCCTGCTCTGTCTTTTTTGAAGGGACCTTTAGCTCACCTAGTGGTCTTGAATTCTTAGCCAGAGACCAAGCAGCCTTTACTCTGCTGCTCACCAGTACACCAATTCCTTTGTTCAGAGTGGTGGACTTCTAGATCCCTGAGTTGACCTGTTGTCTGGGCAGGCTTCTGCCTGGGGCCCAAGAACACTTGGGATGGTATCTAGGTGTGCTTTTCACTGGGGCCCCTATGTAGTTATTATCTGGGTGGGCCTTTGGTTGGGAGCTGTGCAACTCAGTTTCTGTTGTCTGCACAAGCTTTGGTTAGGGTCTCCTTGCACTTGTCAATGTTATTGGGGCAAGCTTCTGGGTATTGATTTTGTGCCTATATAGCTCTTCTCAAGGCTGGTCCCTGGCTGTGGCTGATGGTATGGTGAGACACTTGCTGAAGCCTGGGTGCCATACAGTTCCTCTCTTGGCGGTCTCATGGCCTGGAAGTGTGTGCCAGAACCTCTGGTGTTGGGGGATGCCAAGCTGGGATCCACTTGTAGCCACAACGATCTGGGCCACACAGCTGCTCCCTTGGATCTGCACTCACCAATGGAATGGTGGGCCTGATGTGGGAGTTTTTTATACAGTGGTGTACTACCCTGCACAAGGATGGATAAGGTTGAGACATATCTACCTAAATGTATGCACCTTGAGACCATACACTTAAGTGAGATAAAATGAACACATGTATTTAAATACTGCATTGTTTTTCTGGTGAAAAAATCCAAAACGGTAAATACAGACCAAATTGTGTAATGGATATTGGGAAATGATAAGGAAATGTTCAAATGGGAATTGCAATAAGGGAGAGACAGAAGGACAAAAGAAAGGGACAAGAAAAAGAAGAGAATGGAAGAAAAATGGAAACAAAGCTTTTGTAAATAAGGAAGAAAAGAGAGGTTAAAGGGAGACCAAGGGAATTGGAATCAAAGAAGAATTAGGATATATCAGGTAATGGTACAAATTCATAAAGATGAATTCTATCATTATGTATATCTAAAATACATCAATATAAAAAAACTTTAAAATTTTTAAAGCCAATCAAATATTTTATACCATATATGAAGAATCAATATTATCCATCTAGCTCTATTATCTAATATTTGCAAGAAGATGTAGTTCAACAAAAAAATCATCATTAAGTTTTCAGAGAGTATTTCATGAAGAAAGAAAAAATAGGTTAAAATTTCTATCAGGTAGTATATGTACAGTATCATTAATGCTCAGAATAATATTTATGCATAATTTTTCTTCTGTTTATACTTGTTAGATATCCAAAGTTCAATAAAAGAATATGACTGCCACTTTCTCTGACAATTTAACATATTTCATTAAAATTAATTGTAATTTATAAAAATGAGTGTTTTAAAAGTCATTTGCATATGTCCAAAGGATAATTGGCTCTATCTTCCAACAAACTATTTAAACATAATTCCTTTTTGGCAGAAGAACTACTCTTCAATTAGTTTCTTTCTTTTCTGTGAGATGTTTTCCACAGTACCTTGTGAATCCACACATGATGACTGTATATATTTAAAGACAAGATGTGAATGAATTTTTGCAATTCATGTTGCTTTGTAGAAAATAGGATTTTAAAGTTGCCACAACAAATATTTGGCCATTTGTTCCATCTTGAGATTTTTTTCATGTGTTTGGAGAGAAAAATAAACACAATTGTGGCAAGAATTTTTGGTTTTTTTAATGCCCTCATCATGCTATGTCTTGAAGTGATAGAAGCATCTGACTGAGAAATTAGAAATACTATTGGAGGAGTATCAAAATGTAATATAATTTAGTGGCACCAAACTAAAATCTTAGAGCTTCAAGTAATATTCCTAAAGTGATATATATATATTTGGTCTTACTAATTAGTTATAGAAGAACATTCATTAAGACAAAAACAGAAGCTAGAAAATATTCAGGGCTTCATGTTGAAAACTTCTTTCATCCTTCTAAGCTAGGCTAAGACCAGGTTACAAAGTTTCAGGAAAGGAAACTAGGAAAAACAAAACTTTGTGAATCAAATTCGAAATTCATAGGAAATATTTCCTATTTCTTAAGGGATTTGCCCTATTAACTCTCCTATATTATAAAATATTTGCCTTATCTATTTGGTATGAAATTCACTAAATTCACTGTGCTTTTTATCTGCCTTAAATTGTGCATTCTGTCCCTACAGGTAATTCTACTCTTCCTCTTACTTCTTTCCTAATTAAAATGTGATTCTCCCAAATTCCAAACTGTACTTTGTCTAACCCAATTTGCAGGGCATTTTCAGAATTTTTGTATTTTCTTCCACGATAATTATTCCATTTCACTATATCCCAGTATTTCCCTTTGGTTTCCCTTCTTCACTTTCCCAGAGTCTCTTATGCCCATGAAAACAATGGTCATATTTGTGTTAGCAGGATTTGAGCTGTATTTATATTGAACTTTCTCTCCCCTACTTTAGTTTTCTGAGAAAATGTCTCACTACTGTTATCTAATTTCTGCCTCTCCTATTCTTTGACATACACAAATGTCAAGACGATTACATTTTATATGAATAGAAAAATGCTGCTGAAAATATGATAAAATAATGCTTTTCTCAAATCAACAAACTCTGGTTATGTCAGTATGTGACCTTGGGTGGCATGCCGGATGAAAAGTTGAGCTGCAGATGAGACCTAGATCAATCTACTGAGAGGGTCAGAGGAGCTGTTTCTCCACTGCGAGCACCCAAATCCACCAACTCAAGCACTCTCTGGCTATTATTCAGAATATCAATATTAGAGAAAAAAGCAGGAGAAGAGCAGTTTTTGGCAGGAGCTGTCTCAAGGCTAAGTACTTTTTTGGGGGGAAATGGGAAGGAAATGTCCAGACATAATATACTTTACAAATCTAAACTTCTTGTTGTTTACAATTCTGATTCTCACACAGCCTGTGTGATTTTGCCAAATTTAACAATTCATTCCTCACCGACCCTGTGTCCTTTTCATCACACAGTTAAATTATGTCATCTCACCCAAGCTGTGTGTCTTTTGCCTATCCATGTATGTATTGGGGGTACTTTTGCCTCATATTTTAACTGTTCACTTCCCATACAGACTGTGCCATTTGTCCCTCAGTTTAATCATTCTCTCCTGGGAAGGTTTCCCACATGGGGTTTAAATGAGTCTCATTTTTTAAAAAAATATTTATGTACAAGTCAACAGTAAAATAGAATTATAGGAACTGTGAAATCAGAATTACATATTCCTTAAACAAGATTACACTATATGGGTAAATCAAGAAGGCAAAGGTGTTGTAAATCATGGAGGATCCTCTTTGTAATGTTTTCATTCATGGTAATTAATGTAAATGAAATGGTCTCATTTCTAATGCATTAAATCTGAAGAAGATCTACTCTCTCTTTTGCTTCTTTCCTTTCTTCACAAATTTTTGAGAACAAAACAAGAAACTTTTTATGGCAAGGAAAGTAATGATTGCCCCACAAGCCAGTAGGAACCCAAACATATCCAGTGAGTGGTACTGGTACCAGGTGAGGTTTTGGACAAGTGGCCGCAAGTGCTTGGCCCCTTTGTGGTGCATGACAAACTCAATCCAGAAGACTGTTTGGTCCAGGGGCTTCATGGGCTGATCATGGTGAATGGTGGACAACCACATAGCATTCTCCTTATAGCTGAAGGAAAATTAAATAAGTTTAGAATTATTTCAAAATGGTAGGATGTGAATTTTTGAAGTGCTAAACGTGAATGCAAAAAAAGGTTAAAAGAAATTATTTTTTGGCAGTTATTTTAGAAATCTAAATAATTTAGAATATTTTAACATATAGGATTTAAAGATGTGAACAAAAAGGCTGAGGAAGCATTGCTATTTCTAATCCAGAGATTAAAATCAGTTCCTCCCAAAGTTAAAACAAACAAAAACTAACAAAAACATACGGCATATTTATGAGACTTACAACTAGTATTATACCATAAAAAACTGTTAATAGACCTGTTATATAAGGTTCACATCTGTGTTGCAATATAGAGCAAAAAGAAAATCCTTGTCAAGGTTCATACGACATGTGTGAGTAAATTTATTATGGATTGCAGTATTGACCAGAAAGCAATATATATATATTTGGTCCTGGGGATCAAACTCGGATCCTTCCACTTGCAAGGCAGGGGGCAGAACCACTGAGCTAAATCCCCAGCCCCAGCAATATTGAAATTGTCCATAGTTCAATCATTAAAACTATAAAACAGATGGTGTTCTTTGAGTATGATACTGACTCTTATTTGTTGTCTTTTTATAAATATCTCTGTTTTGAGTTCATAGATACATGGAAAGGATCACACCCTTACAACATTCATGGTTCCTGTTTCATTGTTTCCTTTATATTCCTTGTAATTCCTCTGTGACCATTCTCAATGATTCCTCTCATTCAATTTACAGGCTATTTTAACATATTACACTCTGCCTAAACCTTGCACAAATATTTCAAATAAGAACACTGAAAAAATTTATCCTGACCCTGAGCCTTGTGTCTAATGATGGCCTCAGCATTCAATAAATTTGTATTTCATTATTTTCATTCCAGATTCAGTGCTACTTCCCTGGCCTTTGTGTGAGAACTTGTTTCTAAGTAGAACACAGGGTACAAAAAAAATTTTTTGTACTCACGAAGGGTTATTAAGAACTGTCTCCAGTTCATTTAGCAATTCTGTACTTGATAATGTTATGAATTCCACTTTAACAGCTGCTCCTTTAGCCTTCACGTAAGCAATGTTATCATTTTGTTGCCCAAACAAAGGAATGCCCACCATAGGGATTCCGTGGTAGATTGCCTCATAAACACCTTTGGCTCCACCATGGATGACAAAAGCTCTGGTTTTTGGGTGACCTAAGATTATGTGAATATCAGCAAAAATTAGTTTGAAATTTTAAAAATACAATGAGAAATATACAATATTGGTCACTAAAAATGGAGGTGCTTTATGGATAAAGAATTTGCATGTGTATAACTACAGTGACATTGCTTTTGATTTTTTTTTGCTTTGTTTTCATTTTTTTTGTTGTTTTGTTTTGTTTTTTGAGACAAGGTCTCCCTATGTACTCCAGTCTGACCTTGAACTCACTACGTAGTCCATCCTAGCCTTGAAGTAGTCCTCCTGCCTCAGCCTCTTGAGTGCTGAGATTACAGGTATGCAGCAACACACCTGGTGCAATGCCATTTTTTTGTATCTCAGATCAAGAAAGCAAAGTGAATGCTAGAAAGCAGATATGCTTCATGACTCTAACAATGAATACATGATTGCCAGGAAAAGTTCATCTAATGTGATAAAATAAACAAAATGACATAGTAATAGTATCATGTGTTTATTCAAACTTATTCTCTTAAAAGGGTAGTTCATCCACTAATTCTGCTATGAAAGTTGTGTAAGTCAGCAAGATATGACATTGGGACCAAAGAGAATGAATTACTGGGTCAGTATAAAAGTGTGAATATTTTCCCATTGGAAATACACCATCATTGATAATGAATCAAGAGTGTTATTTTGATTAATATTTGTAAACCCCCATTTCTCTGGAAAGACAGATGCACAACTACCCTGGAAATTATTATGTCCTCTCTGAGAAGCAAGAGACTTAAAATGAAATCTTAATATTGTTTCCATGGACAATAAAAATCAGCTTCTCCAATTCATTCTGCTTCCCCTAAGACTGAAAATATATAGAATGAAGTTTGGTTTTAGTTTTGATTTTCTAGCAATAAATGTTCCCTGGTTTGTTCTATCTTGAGCTATCATCATTCTTACTGATTTAAGTTTGCAGTATTTGTTCTCCAGTATCTTACCAAGTAGGTCATTCTGAGGGAGCCACTTGTACAACTAAATGTTGGGTCCTAAGGTATCTGGTTTCTTGCCATCAAATTTCCAAAGAACCTGTTAGGTAAAGTCTGCATTACATCATATGTTGAATTTTAGAATTTAGACACAAACAAGGTAAGTGCCTTTTGCTGTGTAGATTTTAAAACTGAGGACAGGAGATTAAATATTAAGAAGTATGAAGATACTGAGACAAATATAACACCAACATATTCTATACTTAGTTTTAGATTTAATCAAATTTAATGTAATTGTGTTTCACTCAAGTTGAGAGACAAATAAGATACTATATGCTAAATTAAAATATTTTAGAATTTGCTATCAAAGTATTTAAATAATTAAAAATATCAAATGTTTAAAAAATATATAAATTTGGAAAGAATAAGTAATTTTTAATGGTTTACATGTTCATTAATATACATGATTACAATAGCAGCTGTCTTCTTTCAATATTAATCCTGACCTAATTTTAAAAGGTATTACTATAGGTTACTTATAATCATTTTTTCTACAAGTTAACATATTAGAATTAGATGCATAAAATATTGTTTTTGATGTGTAAATTATGGAATCAACACAATCATTTTTTGTCAGAAATCATTAAATTGATTTTCGGAAATACATGTAATTTGTTTTGAGTTAAAATTATTAATCCTTAATTGTAGGAAAAGTTTCAACTGGAATTCTGAACAAGAATCTATAGTATTATCACCACTGCTAGGATGATCAATTAAATTTGCAAAATAGAGTTAGTTTGGAGTTTGTAAGGTATGTAGCTTTTCAAAAACAATTCATATTTTAAGGTGGTTAAATTTTCTATATCTAGTTCTTTTCTCTTCCAAGATGAAGTACAAAATATTCACAGCAGAGATTAACAAGATCTGCCATAGCCTAAGCATTTCATTACCCTGTTAGAAAATGAGGTACTGGGTTTAGAAATGCCAAGTTCTTCTCTTAAACTGAACTATCACTTAAAAATATTCCAACCCACAAAATCAGAATACACATTATTTTCAGTTTAACACTGGCCATTCTCCAAAATAGACCATATACTCATTCAAGAAACATATTTAGGTAGGTCCAAAGGAATTGAAATCATCCTCTGTATATTGTCAGACCACAGGTAGATGAAATATCAAAATAAATGCAAATATTTCATAAACACATGGAAATTGTACAACACACATCTGACTAAAAAGTGGGTCACAGAGGAAATTAAAGAAGAAATCAGACACTTCCTTTAATTAAATGACAATGACAGTACAACATATCAGAATCTATGGGACACAATAAAAGCAGTTTTATGAAGGAAATTCATAGCAGTGAATATTCATATTAATAAAACAGAGTTAGGCCAATGAACCTGATGCTGAACCAAAAGCTTCTAGAAAAAGAAGAGCAGGACAAATCCAAAGTCCATAGCAAGGAGGAAATTATATAGATCAGGGTAGAATTCAATGCAAATGAGACTAAAAGAAAAATACAAAATAATCAATGAAGTCAAGAGTTGGTTCTTCGCAAAAATAAAATTTACATGCCCTTAGCAAATCTTATCAGAAAAATGAAAGAAAAGGCCCACATCCATGCAATTAGGAATGAAAAGGATGAAATTACAACAGACCCAACAGAAATCCAGAGGGTCATCAATTCCTACTTCAAGGACCTTAAAGCCAATAATGTGGAAAACACACAAGAAATGGACAGACTCCTAGATACATAGGAATTACCAAAGTTGAATGAAGAAGAACGAACAATTCTAAACAAGCCAATATCATTCAATGAAATTGAAAATGTAATTAAAAACTTACTAACTAAGGACAGACTGTGTCGCTGAATTCTACAAGAAATTTAGAGTGGAACTACTGGCAGTACTGTTTAAAATCTTTGATGAAATTGAAAGGAAAGCAATACTCCTGAATGCATTCCTGTAACCAAGCATCATCTTGGTCCCTAAAGCAGAGAAAGACCCAAGTGAAAAAGAGAAATATAGGCCAATTTCACTAATGAACATAGATGCAAAAATTCTTAATAGATACTGGCAAGCAGAATGCAGAAGATAATCAAGAAGATCATACATCGTGACCAAGTGGGATTCATCCCAGGGATACAGGGATGGTTCAACGTATGCAAATCAATGAATGTAATACACTGTATCAATAGGGCCAAGGACAAAAACCATATGATCATTTTAATCAATGCAGAAAAAGCATTCAACAAAGTCCAACAAGCATTTATTTAAAAACCATATAAAAATTGGAATAGACAGTCTCTACCTTACCTGTTAAAACCCATCTATGAAAAACCAACACCATTATCTTACTGTCAAAAACTGAAATCCTTCACACTAAAATCAGGAACAAGACAAGGATGTCCACTATCACCCCTCTTGTTCAATATAGTTATGGAAACATTAGCCATGACAATCGGACAAGAGAAAGAAATAAAAGAAATAAAGATAGGAAATGAAGAAGTCAAATCATCATTATTTGCAGATGACATGACACTCTATATAGAAGACCCCAAGAACTCCTACAAAAGTCTTCTAGACTTAATAACAAAATTCAGTAAAGCAGCTAGCAACAAGGTCAATACACAAAAATTAATAGCTTTCCTCTACATGAACAAAAGACTCATTGGGAGAGAAATAGGGCAAACAATTCCTTTCACAATAGAATCTAAAAAACTGAAATACCTAGGAATCAACCTAACAAAAGAAACCAAAGACCTCTTCTTTGAAAACTGTGACACTCTAAGATGAGAGATTGAAGATGGTATCAGAAAATGGAAAGACATGCCTTGCTCCTGGGTAGGAAGGGTCAACATAGTGAAAATGTCCATACTTCCAAAACTCCTACATAGATTCGATGCAATCCCAAGTGAAATCCCAGCAGTATACTTCATGGACCTTGAGAAAACAATCAAAAATTCATTTGGAAAATGAAGAGACCCAGAATAGCAAAAGCAATCCTAGGTAACAGAGACATGGCAGGGGGTATTCCAACACCCAATTTGAAGCTATACTACAAAGCTACTGTGATACAAATAGCAAGGTACTGGCAAAGAAGCAGACCTGAGGACTAGTGGAATAGATTAGAAAATGCAGAAACAACTCCAGACCTACTCAGCCACCTCATCTTTGACAAAGGAGCCAAACACCCTCACTGGAGGAAAGATAGCCTCTTTAGTAAATGGTGCTGGAGTAATTCAGTTTCAACTTGCCAAACACTAAAACTAGACCTATATCTCTCAACATGATCTAAATGGAAATGGAAGTTGATTAAAGATCTAAATATTAAAACAGAAATTCTGAACCAGCTGGAACAGAGGTTAGGTAAAACTCTTGAAGATATTGGGGTAGGAAAAGATTTTATGAAAAAAAATTCAGTTGCCCGTGAGCTACTATAAACAATCAAGTGGGATCCCTTCTTAATTAAAAGCTTCTGCACAGCAAGAGAAACCACCAGCATGTGAAGAGACAACCCAAAATGTGGGGAAAAATTTTCAACAGTGGTCCCTCAGACAAAGGTCTATTTTTTGAATCTATTAAGAACTTTAAAAAACAGACCTAAAAATGGGCATCTGAAATGAACAGACATTTCTCACACAAAGTAGTAGAAATGGCAAATAGACATATGAAAAAATGTTCAACATCACTGGTCGCTAGAGAGATGCAAATGAAAACAGTGCTGAGATTCCACCTCACCCCAGAAAGAATGGTTGCTATCAGGAAACCAACCAATAACAAATGCTGGTGAGGCTGTGGGGAAAGAGGAACACTGCTCCACTGCTGGTGGGAGTGTACACAGGTGCAAAGATTGTGGAAATCAGTCTGGAGATACCTCAAAGAACTAGGACTGAAAGTACCATTTGACCTAGCTATTCCCCTGCTGGTTATATTTCCCAAAGAATTAAAAGAATCATACCACAGTGATATATGTGCATGCATGTTCATAGAAGCAGAGTTTGTAATAGCTAAAACTTGGAAACAGCCCAAATGCTCATCAACTGGAGACAGGATAAAGAAAATGTGGTTTCTTTATAAAATGGAGCAC